AGAAATTGTATGAGTTAATGAATTAATCAATATCGCTTCTATTGATATTGTTATATCGGTAGAGAAGTGATATGAATTAATCAAAATGTCTTCTAGTGATATTGTTATATCTGTAGAGAAATTGTATGAGTTAATGAATAAAAAGTGCCTTCTAGTGATCTGTTAAGAAATGGTATGAGTTAATGAATTAATCAAAATGTCTTCAATTGATCTTGCTATATTGATAAAGAAATGGTATGAGTTAATGAATTAATCAAAATCTCTTCTAGTGATATTGTTATATCAGTAGAGAAGTGGCATGAATTAATCAAAATGTCTTCTAGTGATATTGTTATATCTGTAGAGAAATGGTATGAGTTAATGAATTAATCAATATCGCTTCTATTGATATTGTTATATCAGTAGAAAAGTGACATGAATTAAAAAAACTGTCTTCTAGTGATATTGTTAAATCTTTAGTGAAATGGTACGAGTTAATGAATAAAAGATGCCTTCTAGTGATCTGTAGAGAAATGGTATGAGTTATCGAATTAATCGAAATGTCTTCTAGTGATATTGTTATATTTGCTGATATATGGCATGAAATAATCAGAATGTCTTCTAGTGATATTGTTATATTTACAAAGAAGTGGCATGAATTAATCAAAATGTCTTCTACTGATATTGTTATATCAGTAGAGAAGTGGCATGAATTAATCAAAATGTCTTCTAGTGGTCTTGTTATATTGGTAAAGAAATGATATGAGTTAATGAATTAATCAAAATGTCTTCTAGTGGTCTTGTTATATTGGTAAAGAAATGATATGAGTTAATGAATTAATCAATATGTCTTCCAGTGATCTTGTTTTATCTGTAGAGAAATGGTATGAGTTAATGAAATAATCAAAATCTCATCTAGTGATATTGTTATATCTGTAGAGAAATGGTAGGAGTTAATGAATTAATCAAAACGTCTTCTAGTGATATTGTTATATTTGCAGAATTATGGCATGAATTAATCAAAATGTCTTCTTGTGGTCTTGTTATATTGGTAAAGAAATGGTATGAGTTAATGAATTAATCAAAATGTCTTCTAGTGATCTTGTTTTATCTGTAGAGAAATGGTATGAGTTAATGAAATAATCAAAATCTCATCTAGTGATATTGTTATATCTGTAGAGAAATGGTAGGAGTTAATGAATTAATCAAAACGTCTTCTAGTGATATTGTTATATTTGCAGAATTATGGCATCGAAAATATTGCTCCTCTTTAAAAAAAAAAAAAAAAAAAAAAAAAAAAGTATTCCTATGAAATCCATGGCGTATATGGCAGACTCCTCTAAACATTTCGAAATTTCTGGGACAGTAGAAAGTTTTATCACTTCTTTTTGTCAAAATCAAAAACATGTGATCCAAAAAATATTCCCTTTCTAAGTATCAGATGAAATTCCTATTGGAGATATTCATGCCATTTCTTTTGAGGATATAAGGATATATTGTAATCTCTGAATAAGCGAGAAAAGAATAACATCAATATTCTCCATTCAAATCCGCTTTCCATGGTTGTTTTCCCTATACTTAATGATGATTGAATGATTATGCGTTTGTGACAGATCAAAGCTAGTACTACTGAGTTGCACCTTGAATTTAATCAGTTGTACAAAGCAGGACCGTTCATTCTATAGAAATATTGGAAATTTGGAAGATATACTTTCCTTGAAATATTGCTGATCTAATTATCTGGAAAATCGAAGTGTTTTCATATCAGAATTATGGCTGTATTGGACAAAATTCGAGGATGGTTATATGGTTGGCTCGAAAAAAGAAAACTCGGCACACCTCCTGCAGCACTACTCCTTTGGCGAATTATGGTGAAAAACACGTTTCCGATGCGAACTATGTATATCAGGTTTATGTATTTTCCATAATTTTTGCTTCTATTCATGTTATTGACTTATGCATAGAGCAAAATAAGTTTTCATGGAAAATTTATTATGTGTATGTAAGGTGCTCATTTAATGTTTAGAGAAAAATCAATGCAAATTTTCAAGACAGCATCATATGGGGTTAGGAATCTCGGTGTTTAAGAAGAATGCTATTAACGTTGCTAGAGATTTTGCACATTTTCTAATTCGACAAAAGTTGCTGGATCCGACGAACCTCCCGAAGCTTACTGTATTTATGTCCATTATTAGATTAAGTATTTTTAGATTGATGATCTTTGCATGTCAGTTTTACTAAGTGCTAAGTGTCTCGTTCAATTTGATACGCTATTTATGTGTATCAAAATTAATACTTCACACTGAAGTATTTATTAAAATCTATTGAACTTTCTGTGATTCTTTTATATTTTTCATTTACACTATATTTTAATGCTTAAACACTACTCTCTTCATGAATTGATAATAAGACACGTTATTAGTAATTCATTAGTCGTTTTCATTAAGTATTCGTTTTTTTCTCTCTTTCTTCCATTCATATAAGTGTGTCGCATCCATGCTGGAGGCAACAAATCTGGAATTATTTGCCAGAGCACTAGAAAATAACATTTTGTTGAAAACAGAAGAAAATAGCTGCATAACAACCGACGTTTTAGTGGATATGTAGTGTATTCCGTCTTCGAGGATTAAAACAGAACATCAACGTTATATGAGCAAAAAGCTTTTTCCTCCTTTTTTTGACGATTTCGGAAAAATTAATCTTATCAAATGGAAAAAATTTTTTTGTCAGTATAATGTCTTTCTTCGATGAATGGAATCATCAATCTTCGGTCTGTTATTTAGTTTCGAAAGTTATTAGCTTTTTTTTTCTAGTTATGGTGAATTAAAAATATATCAACAGAATGTTTTTCGTAATAAAAAATGTTGCCTCAAGTTCTTAAGCAACATTTTTCTTTTAAATTTAGCTTTCAGGTATTAGTTGGGTGCTTTGTGCATGGATAACACTAGAAGCATCGCTTCGATGACCAAATGAATATTCCTAATAAATTAGGTTATAAAAGTGATCTGAGGTAGATATACTTATGCAGACAAAATATTGTAGTGCTGCTGTGAAATTTCTAAACAAATTTAATCTTATTCAACGAACATAATACGGTCTTTTTTATTTATTTTTTCTGCTTAAAAAAAATGAGAAAACTAAACTTTCGCCTAGAGAAAACAAAAACATGTCCTGCATACTAGATTGTCGATAACAGTGAACATTCTTTCCCTTTAAATGTTAAAACATGAAAACAAAACAAATGAATCATGCAAACATCAATTCTGGAGATTATAAAATTTGAACACAATTGTAAACTAAAACATAAATGAAATGAAAAACATAGCGAGAATTTTTCAAAAAGCTTAAAATTTCATTATTTGGTCGATATCCAACAGGTCCCACAGTTTGCATCTGCTTTACGCATGATATCCAACAGTTTGCATCTGCTTTACGCATGCTTACTTTTGCTGCATTTATCTTAAAATTTGAATAAATTTTTCAAAAAATTCAGCCAAAGTGTATTAGAAGAAAGAGCAATAAAAAATTTTCCAAATCTTTATTTCATCCAGGAAACACTTTTGAATAACCGACTGCCAAAAATTAAACAATCCGACTCACGATGTTGAACTAACAAACCTATTGAATATAACGGTCAGCAACTGGAAAAGTGAATAACATGCTTTTTTTCTTGCTTTAATATATAATGATTTAAACGATGATGGTTTAGTCGTGATATAGACGATGCTCATCATGGACAATAGTTAATATATGAAAAAAAAAAAAAAAAAACGATATATGAAAAATATAAATCTATGAAATCAATTCAGTGTCAAGTTGATACCCTCTTTGAACAAACTGCCCATTGCTGTCGATAATTCTATCGTAATTTTATCATCTTGTCCAGTGTACAAAAAGTGCTCCAGTGAAACAGAGTGTTACGTAGTATACGTACCTACCTTTTATGACGATTAATAACATACCGATGCTACTGATAAATCCAAACGATTGTAATCAAATCAAGCATATAAATTTTTTATCTTGGCGTAGTTAAGATTTTGACGGAAAGAATAGACTTCTACTATCTTTTTTTTCTAGTATATCTAGAAATTTTGAAAATATATTTTCATATTTATTTGAAATATATTTGAAAATATATTTTCATATTCATATTTTGTCTTTGGGTTACACTCATATGATTATCACATTCACCTTGTCAGCTAGGCCTTTCTCTTTCTGCTTTCAATTATTCTATCATGTTATATGCCAACATGGACCATCAAAGATATGCGTTGGGGACGGAAACAGAATCCAAAATGCTCCTTTTGCTTCTATGACATGACCATCCAGAATTTTATCTTAAATTCCCATTTAACGTTGTCAATGTGTTAAGATGTGCATATAATAAAATCGCATGTGTGAAGGATTGGAAGTGTTTACAACAAGATCATATATGTTATAAAAATGTTGATGCGTTTAAACTGCATTCGATACATTTACACTGATACATTTAAAATTCTCATAACTTTAATAGATGCCATTGTCCAATAATTTCGCATTTGTAACTTATCTATGTCTATATCATTTAAGTCATTATGCTAATTCCTTTTTCTCACAAAAAAAAAAAAAAAATCCTTCGTTAGCAAACCCTTTATTAACAATCTTTGTTTCACATCAGCTAAAATGTTCTCTGCCGGATATTTGGTCAGTTCAGTTCTGCACATAAACAACCGTCCACCATTACAGTTATCCATTCTACATTTTCGGGTGGTTTTTGACATCATTTTAACTTACAATAGATTATATCTTTCGTTACGCATTATTATTATAATATTGATTTGTTGGTTTAATTACCCAAATTTGAGGCAAAATAAAGTATCTGGCAGTCAATACATTCCACGACAAAGTTTTTTGGTGCCTGAGGTGAGGTATGTCTACCAGCATAATTGTAAGAACAAGATCGGTAAAAGCAAATCTCGAAAAAGTTTTCGATGAAACACTTTATCTATCTTTGTTAGACAAAAAGCGGCAATAGAAGTATTATGCCATACGAAACAAGGGCAAGAATCATCAAGGAAAAATTGATGCGCCCCGAAAAATACATTGGCACTCCGACGAATGGTTGGAATACATTCAATAAACCCAATGTCGCAAAGAAAGAAAGAAGAAAAGAAATATAAAGAAATGGCAACTGATGATAGAGGTATTTTAAATTTAATTAATACAGGTACAGATACTATTATAATCTTATCAATATATGAGGACGATACCGAGTTAGCTCTTAAACGTTTAACACGAAATAAGGAACACATTCTAGCTGAATATCGTCCAGCAGTAAATTTGTCTCAACTATCGTTACCAACGTTCACTGGTGATCTTAAAACATGGAAAGAGTTTTGGAGTAGTTTCGAAGCCTCCATATACTCTCAAAACATACCCGATATACAAAAGTTAAATTACTTGGTTTCTTATCTAAGAGAAGCGCCCTACAGCTAGTAAAAGGACATGATAGACTACTTGAAAATTATAAGAGAATTACTAGTAGAAAAATTTTGTCGTGTTTCCACCATAAATGAGTTTATATCTATAAAACGAAACGACCGAAACTGGAAAACAATAGTCGAAGAAATGGAGCAATTGGGGAAAACGTAGAGCAACCCACCATTGAAACTATAATAGAACCCAAATTATCAAACTGAATACTGAACCAACTTTATCAACAAAAAGAAGATGACCAGTGGTCTATAATAAAACTTCGACAGTTTCTTAGGAAAAGAATCAACAGAAACGACCAGGTAATGGAATGGCAATATTCAAATAGCGTAAATTAAAGAAATTTGATTAGACGCCATCCTAATTCAATCATTCCAGAAACCTCTGCATTGATTGAAATGAAACAATCAAAGCAAATGAGAGATACCGCTACTGTCGAAAATATCCAGCCAAATCAAAAGAATTCAAGAATGAGAGACCTTGCATTTTCTGCAACAAAAATCACTGGGATAGCAAGTGTCACATATATTCTACAGTCGAACAATGAATTGATCGATTGAAGAAAATCAATTGCTTTAAGCCTGGACTAGTAGAAAAGAAAGGAGTACTGCTTTTATATAAAGAAATTACTGTCTTTAATCCTGATAAACCTGAACATCAGTCACAAGCCTTAGTACTCTTTAACGTAGATGATACAACCCTTCATTTCTTAGCATAATCTCCTTGAAACTGAAAAAGAAGAATACAAAATCTCCTCCTTTGGCAATTGAATTCCCAGCAGTTGCCGCATAACTCAAACACAAATTGGAGTAAAGTCGGAAAGCTTCAATCAAATGACTGTCTAAGCCATTTATCTAACAAACGATCTTCAATGATTGAAGTAGCAGACAAAATTAAAATTTTCGATTTTAGAAGTTACAGAAAACAACCTGCATAATCATAGGAGTTGACTATTTTTTCGACTTTATTCATATGAAAAACATTCAGCAACTAAAGTCAGGATTCACTCTATTGAACAGTAAAGTTGGCCCCAACATAGCAGGAAGTGATTATGTTGACACATTATGTCTTGTAACACCTATGCAACAAGATATTCCAAGAAAATCGTGCTCCAGATATAGACCAATTTTGGAAGTTAGACTGTATTGGTATTCAAGATCGACTTGATACACAAGATGATAAGCAAGCACTAAAGAATTTAAGAAGAGTATCACTAAGCAAAATGGGATATGAAGTACGTCGGCCATGGAAACCATGCAAAGACAGCGATAATTACGGATTATACATTTACGAATGCTGATGGCACGACTTCAGTCCCATAGAGAGGAATTGCAAGAATATGATAAGATAATGCAAGATTAACTACATTCTGGCATAATCGAAGAAGTACAGTCACAAATGAATCAAAATGGAATCATTCATCATGATGTTCGTAATCCGGATAAGACTACCACTAAGAATTGTGTACGATGCTTCAGCACACATAAAGGGAAAGAAAAGTTTGAACGAAGTGTTATATCGAGGACCAATTAACCTACCAGATCTTGTAGGTGTATTATTACGTTTCTGAATGATGAAGGGAGTAATTATAGCTGATATTGAAAAGGCATTTTTGTAAATAGAATTACATCCTTCAGAAAGAAATTGTACTCGATTCCTTTGGCTAAAGGAAGTAGAAGGAAAAGTATCCAACGAAAATATAAAATGTCTTTTAGAAGAATCCCGTTTAGAGTAATATCTCGCTCCTTTTCACTATCAGCTACCCTGAATTATCATTTGGAAAATCATGATGGCGAATTAGCCTTAGAAATAACTAGAAATCTTTATGTGGACAATGTTATTGTATCATCAAATGGAACATAGGACGCAACAGAAAAATATGCGGAAATGAAATCCATCTTCAATAAACCTAAGGGAATTTTTATCTAACGATGAAGCTTCAGCAAGATCGAGCAATGAGAAAGAACACGAAAATTCTCGGCATTTCATGGAGTTCCTGTCATCCAACTAAAGTTAAAACGTTCCATGAAACGAATCAGAATTAACAAAAAGAACATTTTACAGTTCGTTGCACCATAATACGACCCACTAGGATTTCTAGTTCCAATAATGGTAAGATTTAAAATATTCTTACAACAGCTGTGAAAAAAGAACAACTCTTGGGATCAAATATTAGATAAGCAAGACCATAGACAATGGATTTTTCTTATTTTTGGGGGTTAATCTTTACATGATTGTGACAAGTCACGGTAAGTTTGAATGCAGTTTGAATGCATGTGTTCACCAATGCTTCAAGCATAGCATACTCATCATTAGTGCATCTAGTGCATCAGGAAATGCAAGGAATAAAATCATCGCTTATCCTCGCTAAATCGCGCATTGCTCCTATCAAAGGAATAACAATACCGTCTAGAACTGATGGCCGTACTCATCGGAACGCGAGCAGCGCAATTTATCATAACATAACTAGGCTTCTCCAACATAAAGGTAACCTTATGTCAGACTCTAAATGTGCATTACATTGAATAAAAAATCATTCCAATCTATTACCAAGATTTGTCCAAAATCGGATCGATGAAATACGTAGTTACCTTTTGTTATATTCCAAAAGAGAACCTCGTAGATGTGGCAAAAAGAGTGTTAATCCGAAACAACTTAGAAGTTTCATGCCTGCAAGAGGAAATCAACTGGCCACAATGGAAATACAATTTTGACAATAACGACGAACCAAAAGAAATTACCATAGCAAAGGTCTCGAAATGCGCAAGGATCATAATATTAAACTTATTGATAGCAATCGTTTTAGCAAATGGGCAAAATTGTTACGAACAACATCATGGATCCTCAAGTTTATTCGGGTAACAACTAAAGACAAATTATCATGGTTACAGTCTATTTCAACTGAATGAGATCGATTTACATCTGAGGATTACAAATTATCAGAATGGTTATTAAGACATTTTATAGTTAGATAAACGCAGTCCGAAGGAGTCAATGACAATGAAATAAACAAGTGGAATTTGATCTACACCGAAGACGATAAACTATGGAGATCTACTAGACGACTGGAGAATTCGGAATTGCTTATAATCTAAGTATGAGTATAACTGAATTATTATAATCTAATGGAGAATTATTATAATCTAATTTGTCTTTTGTTTTCCAGAAGTCACTGCTTTTCCTAAAAAAGTAGGAATCGATTTATATTGAATGTATTGATAATTTTCATTAATTGTATACAGTCAGACATTTTATAACTCTTTTTTTGAATTCAATTTGAAGGAAAATTTCTTTGCATATATTAGGCACTAAAAATTAAGTCTCTGTAAAAAACTTTAAAAAAGTTGGTTTGTTACAAATACTAATTTCCCATATAGATTTTTTATGTCGCTATTATTGTCTCAGTATCTTGAAGGCTTCTATTCTCCAGTATCTACTACCAAAGAAATTATTTTTCATCTAAACTTAACAATATTCTTTTGTAATTTTACATGAATTTATATAAATGTATTTTTACTGGTCTGCTAATATGTGTATTCTAGCTTTATAACAAATAGGTCAGATTTAGTTGAACTAAATTTTAGCTATCAGAATGGCGACCTTTAAATTAATAGACTTGCTGTATATGTCATCCTATTCTAAAACGATTGAAATATCATTGTAAAAATATAGACTTGTTACCCGCCTCCACATAGGAGCTGCAATGCATCCTTTCGGATGTGTCACAGCTCTTGTATTGACTTCTGGATGAACCGGATGCAGAAGGATTAGCATCTTCAGCTTCTTTTTGTTGAGATTTCATCATCTTCACTGTTGGCATGATATTAGCGCCGATCGATAACGCATCATGTTCATTGGCTGACATTATCTTCCTCGATTTTGCCGGTGCCTGATCGAGATCTGTTTGTTTAAGTAAGATAGTTGAAGCTCTTTTCCGTAACAATTTACTCTTTTTTGTTCTGGCTTCATACTCCATGCTGGAGTTATATTGTCGTATATCCATCCAAATCCGCTCGTTAGGACTTCTAACATTCGCTTCGCTCTCAACCCTGAGAGTTTGCGTGGATGATTCGGAATATCTGCTTGGTTGTGTTCTTTGTGTACGGACTGATACAGGTCTAGATTTCTTTCTCGGATCTAACATTTCTATTGTTCCACTTCTTTTATCTCGTGATTGAGTATTTTGCGTTTTCGAATGTTTTGCTATTATTTTTTCTCCGTTTTCGATTATCGAATGTTTAGAACCGTTTTCTTGTTCGTTGGTTATCTCATCATTTTCATCTCCTCCGTCTTCTTTGATCACTTCAGCACTTCCGATTTTGGTTCCTGTCATAATTTCTCTTTTAAGAGGTCAAATATGGATTTGATACTCTTCATTCTTAGAAATAACAGTAGATGTGGTATTCAACATTTTTCGGAGCACTGGAATTTAACAAAACAGTAAAGATCTTTTTTTTTCTACTCCTCCTTTTTTATTTGATAATTAAATCAAAAAGGGAAAAGACTATTTTCTCCAATGTTGTAAGTCTAATACGGAAAGTTTTAAAGTGCAGTAGTAAAATTAGTAGCAATTGAGAGTTGTTTTGGAATTTATATAATGTTCCACCTTGTCCATAGTTTTTAATAATTATTTCAACATTTTCTCCAATGTTGTAAGCCTAAAACGGAAAGATTAGATAATTCCAGTTTTGCAACAAAGAAGATTCTGGAACATATTACGCCATATTTCGATCGCTGGCAAGCATGATCGAAATAAGATATTCCAGAATCTAGATGAGATGTCCCACTGGAATTAACTGGAGATAAATCTAGTGATAATCTAGAAAACATACGACATTAAGGTTTTCATCGAATTGAACATGATCCTTTACACTGCTTCCAGTTGGTTTTGCATTTGTAAGATCATGCTCCTAAATTTAAATTAAATCAACCTTAATTAGTGCTGCTTATTATGTATATTATTATCATATATAATTAGTGTTGCTTATTAATATATATTATTAAGGGATGTATCCAAAACATGAGACTCCTATTGATTAACTAACAAGAATATGTAATTTAGGATATTCAATAATAAGTGGTCCTTTGAACTGGAATGCTGCGGCATCGAATGGCTCCGGCAAATATTTTCCTTGTTCTTCGGGCGGTGGCTCTGCTCTTCTGCAGTTCTCGATCAAACTTTTCGGTAGTTCATCTTCCGTTGTTCCTATTCAATAATATTGTTAGCTACCAACAGATATATTCACATGAGTCACTTAATCTTTTCTAACAATAATTACTGATCAGAAACTTTGTCATTCAAAAGTGTCCTTTTTGTTCGTCAGACTACTAACATTCTGAACAATTTTAATAGACATTTTTTATATTTTTTAGTTGTATGGATACCAACCATTCTTTTGGCAGCAGCAATATATAACAACAATGATAAAGAGAGAGGTAAGAATAATCAATATAGGTACACCTATAACTAAAACTAGGATGATTGCCAGTATTGTTCCTCTATTTCTGAAAAATTCAATAATGTTGAAAATTAATATATTCATAACACTATTAATGCTTACACGGTCTTTTATAATCTAGCAAAAAATTTTCTACAGTCTTCAGGAATCATATGTATTGGATGGTGTGGAGATTTTTGATTACATATATTATGAGGAGGATAATGTGTACGTCCACTTTGCTGATTGTTTAATCTTATTTGATTTGTTACGAAATTACCGAATGGTATTGAAAGTAGATTTAAATTTCCTTAACATACATGAATTACTTTTTTCTCATTCTTGCACTATGATATAATTCATTGTAAAATGTATCTTTATTTGGAAATATTTGCTGGAAATTTCAGAGAAAGAAAACTGTTGAGTAGGCTTACCCCAGTTGAAAAATTGAACGTTTTAACCTTAAATAAGGCATTGGCAATTTTGTTTGTAAGATACAATTTCGGGTTCTTAGACGGTAATGAAACACATTGTACGTCGCTTCACTGAAAGGACCATGTTTGAAATAAAATCCAACTTTAAAAAAAGTGTGGAGAATTTACTGAGTTTATCATATTCGTTCATCACATTCCTTAGGAGTGTAGCTCTATCAGAGCAAGTATCAAATCTCCATTGTTATTATTGATGCAGCATTTATTCTTTACAACTGCTTAATTCATAAAGAGTGAAAAAGAAGCTAGGAAATGTGTGAAGTAGTGTAGTGCCGATAACTTACGATCCAATCTGTTCACAAAACAACAAATTAAGTTTGTTGTTGAGATAGATAAAGTGAATTTTTCGTGCATTAATTTTGAATAGAAATTCAGATTTGCGAGTGTGTGGAATAGTTGAGTGATAAATTCGTCTTCGTCGTTTATAATATATGTTATAATTGCTAGGGTCCAGCTGCAAGGGTCGAAAAAAATTTTTTAAATTTAGAATTTTTTAAAAAAAATGTATTCGTTACAGAAGAATGCTTTAATATACGAATGTGAATGATTGAATTTGTAAACAATATGTAACTTTTCAAAATTTTACAACTACATTGATAATTATTGATCATGTGATCTGAATTAAAATGAGTTGTTTAATAAATTAGAATGACGAGTAAATCAGTAAAACACAGGTATAGTCGAAGAGTTGAGGTGGTCAACTTCGCAATTATATCTTACAATACAATCATCAGCATGTAGTTTGATAATATATTTGATACGTATACTCATTTGATGGGAGCAATTCTGCACGAGTAATTGGTACCTTCGGTTTATCGGTGATTCTCCTAAAATTAAATATAAAATGAATGTAAAAAGAAAACGTCTGATATTTCGCTTTCTAATATTTCACGGTTCTCTATGAAGAAAAATAAATTATGTAACGTCTCGCGTGTGGTCTGATAAGTCTAAAACTGAAATAAATAAAGGAGTAAATTCAAGTTAAAGTTATGGACACAGATTGATTGAGAGAAGAGGACGATTACAATGTTTTCATATACCTTACTTTTGTTTGTTGGAATTTGTAGGTAATTCTCTAGCATTAACTCAAGTGGAAATTTTGTCGCATTGGTAAATATGCGGCGCAGTTTAGTGTTCCTATAATTGGCCAAGAATTAGAATGTGCACGAAGAAAGTCAACAATAAACATTAATACTAGCTGGATATACTGGCTAAGCTACTCTTTCTATTCCATGATTACCCCTCTTCATTTTTCATCTTTCGAATCTGTTCACATTCCACTAACTGTGTTGGCTTCATTTGGCAGTCAACAGACATTTCCTAAATTGCTGTGTTCATGTTCCGAGATGACCCAAGGTGGTTTGCCTGAAATCTAGGCAGTAGCGAGGAAGACAGGTGATATTTAATCTAATATATCAACCTAATATTGATTACTAAGGACAAAGTAATCAATGCAGGTTTTCACTCAGCAAAGAAGTTGCACGTATGCAAGAGACGAAATATACCTACTTCTGTTGAATATTTTGTATATCAGCTGTTGTGAAAGCATTGTAGAAATTTTGCATATTGCACTTTGTTTTCTGCAAATAAACTAATAATAATGCAATGACTTACATGAGATGATAAATCGAGATTTTAAGTGTATTAGCTTCCTAGTGAAAAGTGCGTCAATGTAAGTTTCCTTGCAGCTAATCTGACTAGAATTTCTGTTGTTTTTTTAACTTTACCACTTTGAAATTTACTTAGATTTCCATTTAGTACTTTATAGCGTGTGTCAAGATTTTTCCAAGCTAATAGAACCTTAACAGCTGCATGCCTGGCGGAGTAGTTGGACACAAATAAAGTTATAAAGATGATAACATTGATAAGCACCACGAAAATAAAACAATTACTTCTACCACCGCGCATTGCAAAAAATTATAAAAATAACAATTCTTTAACTACTTTATTGCTTATATGCGTTTCGCTATCTAGAATTTGCATGATTGAAAATTTTGCAGCATTGAAAGAATGAAATATTAAAAATAAATTGGACTAAAGTTTAAAGTTTAAGTGAGACGTAAGGAAGGTAAGAAGAGATCGATGTGAATAGATAATTATGAGGCATTTTTGACTGGATCTCCAATGGGGAGGTAATATTCTGTATCTCCGAATTAGGTTCAAGGATCTGAAAAACATGTGGGTGATTTTCATGATATAAAACATTGGTAAGCAGTAAAGGAGCAAGGATGCAGGATTTTAAGTGAACTTACCAACGCTATACTTTGACAATATAGGAACAGTGTTTTCGAGCTAGCGAAAGGCGGAAAAAAGTGAGGAAGTGTTTGGAATAATTCGGATGATTTAGTGTCAAATTCAAAATTACGAAAATTTCAGTGAATTTTAAAGACAAAGCGTGAGCAACATAAAAGAAGAGCAAACTTGTCAGATGGTGGATTTTTGGTGATTGGACGCGATGTCGCATCAACTTCCGTGCCAGTCGCTCAAACCCTCAAATTCATAAATGGGAATTACCAAATTAATTCTTTAGTAATTATTAGTCGTGATTTCTATTTGCGATTTTAATTTCCGATTCTGTATTTGCAAGCTATTTGTTCTTTTCATTTATTTCCTATTTACAGAATTCGCTTTATTTAAATCCGAATTGTTTCCGTTGTTTCTTCCTAAAAATATTAATGTTAGACGGAAATTCAGCTAAGAGATTAACCTACAGAGAAATCATGACTTAATGTGATGAAGTACGTCTCATTTGCCCAACATCACTGGACTATCTCTAAGGAAATTTTTTCATGCCATCATATTAGCTTTTCTTTCACACTGGTTGTTGCAGGATGACCTTACACGATATTGAGTAAAAGGGTTGGAAGAATTTCAAATCTTTATCTAATTTATTCCAGTTAATTGTTTATCTAATTTATTCAGTTAATTTGTTTGGTTGCAGTTATCGAGTGATGTTTTAAGAAGTCTCATTTTGACTTTTCTGAGAAAATTCTTTCCAGCACTCCACCAACGAGTTCCGTCAAGCGTGCCGAAATCGATGATTCAAAATTTTTTGTGCGGAAGTAAACCTTTTTTATGCAAAATATCATTTTGCACTGTTGTTTTAGAAACATGGTGTTATACCTAATTTGAAGTATTCTTGAATCTTGGTAAAATCTTTTGTGGTTCTATGACAGCAATAAATTTCCGCATCTTTAGGAAACATTTTACTCTGCATATCTATTAATAGCTGCAGCTGAAACTACAGTTGAAGCATTCTTTATAGCAGAGTAATACCAAATGAATTAAGTATTCAACAAAGATGCTATCACAGAGAAAGTCTGCAGAAAGTCTTCGATTATGTTTTTTTGGATATACATCAGATGCAAAAAGAATTTAAACAATTTCTGCCATTATTGGAATAGGCGAAAAAGAAACAAAAACCATAAAAAGCCGCACGGTTGATATGTGCTGCAATACGAGAAATCATTGATCATCGTAAAGAAACCGGTGTCGTGAAAGGTTACTTGGTTGATACTCGAATAGTTGCAATAAGTAAGAAGACTAATAAACCTTTATTTTTCGAAGACGTAATATTAATAAATCGAGCAATAAAAAGAGATAAAATTTATAAAAGAAAACTGGAGGAATTGAAATTGGTTAACCGAGTAGTAATCGTCCTTAAAGACAAATAATAATTGTAATTTTTTAGGATTGAATTTTATATGAGTGGTAATTGGGCGTGTCTAAGATAAAAATGTGAAGAATCGGAAATGTTTATGAGAATTGAGAATTTATGATATGAGATTACATGTGTAATAAACCAAAAAAACTAGATTTAAAGAGAGATAATTTATGATATTATGGGATTATTTTTAGATAGGATTTTTCGCGATGTTATAATTCGCGACACTCAAATTAAAAATTTAAATTTCAGAGTGGGACAGTATTGAGTTTAAATGGCAAATATAATTTGCTTTCTCATTCATAGAAAAAATCCGAAAATTCCGAGTGATTTTCTTTATGAATTAGTATTGCTCAATGCAGCTGTATGCAGTAATAATCTTGCATTCGCTACAATTCTCAATCTTCAGAGAATTAAATCCCTCATACTCAACACTGAAAACTACTTATTAGAAGAGAAAACAATACTTTAGCAGTCAATGCAACGCAAATAGATAAAAAAGTTATAGCTCTGACGAGATTAACGATGTACGTGATATTTTCTGTTATATTACGTAACAAATCTAGTAATTGCCTTTTCACTTTTCGGAAGAATCATAAAATTGATGATTCTTTGGGAAGCTGTCAGAGCATAACCGACCACGTGATATACAAATGGATAATTATAGAAAAAACTGCGTTTGAGGAATTTTAGTTTAGTGTTCGAACTGAGCGGTTAATCTTGTTGGTCGTGTTTATAATTTGCACTAAAATAATAAAGTTAATATAAAGAAAAACCAATGAAACTAATTAATCATTTTTAAATTGTAAACAATCTTGCTGTATTATAAATCATCTCTTCATAACTTAAGATTTACTACTCATGTAATTTTATGTGAAATTAGCTCTCATCATAATCTCGTCTTTATATGACCTTAATATAATCAACCGTGATTCACAATTTATGGGTGTATGGGGACTCAGACATATACAACGATGATTTATCATAATCGTCATCGTCATAATAGTCCAATACATCAGAACTTATCCCTATATATTAGTTGTCGCGAATTATAATTTCGCGAAAACTTCTATCTAAAATAATAAAAAGGAAAATCAATAAAAACTAATTAACCATTTTTCAATTGTAACTAATTTCATAATATCATAAACTAACTCCTCATAAAACTAGTTTCTCATGATTTAAAACCAATAAAGACTAATTAATCATTTTTAATTGTAAACAATCCCATAATATCATAAACAATTTCTCCTTAAATCTAGTTTCTTAAGATTTATTACTCATGTGATTTTAAGTAAATTTATAAACACTTCTAATTCTTCATTAAGTGTTGATTTTATTACTGAATATGCAAGTTATGGCTTATACAGAGGTTCAGATAATGAACATTTACTGCTACTCTGCAACGGAGACGTTGGTGAAAATGCTGATGGTTCTACAATTCGCTGTAATGTCGTCTATCATCGCTATTGCTTACCAAAAAAATTGGAGCCCTGAATTATAATCTGAGTAAAAGGAATTATAATGTGAGTATAACTGAATAATTATCTGAGTATGAGTATAACTGAATTATAATCTGAGTATGAGCATAACTGAATTATAATCTGAGTATAACCGAATTATAATCTGAGTATGAGTATAACTGAATTATAATCTGAGCATGAGTATAACTGAATTATAATCTGAGTATGAGCATAACTGAATTATAATCTGAGTATAACCGAATTATAATCTGAGTAGGAGTACCGAACAAAACAAAATGCGACGAAGCATTTTTCATTTCAGACTTCCCAATAAATTCACTCTTGCACTATAACGCTGTATAAACTGAACAGATTCACGCCAAGCTAGTCTACCTACCGTTTCCTTGGAAAGTTTTGGGATCTTTGGTGCTCGAATAGGTGGACGGATGATTTGGTGAGTGTCATCGTGGTGTTTGGTGGTGCTATGTAACGCTCGTCCCGAGATTTATTGGAAGTGATATGGTGTATCTGAAGTTGAGACAACCTCTTAGTCTAATTATACTAATGATTTATAGCATTAAATTTAATATTAAGTCGCCTCTTGTAGCCCTGCAATTCTACGATGAAATTTTTATTTCTTGTGTAACTTTGATTGCTTCACATTAGATTTTATTATAAGCAGCTTAAAAGCAATATCGCTGCCTATTTTTTGCTTATAGTGCAAGAAATTTCTCATATCGTCAGCCTCTTTAGTAGTAAGACAAGTAATGTTTACTTTCAATTTTCGGTTTACGTTTTTGTGTTTCGAAGTTGGCATATTCTAACCCTTTTTTGCGCTATGAAGTAAAGGTATCGGATTGTCCTTAAATGTAAGTTCAACTAATTTTATTTATAGGGTTACTCAACGGGGAACGGTACACTATTTGGTTTGGGATGAGCTTCGCCGCAGTCGGGACGCGAGGTAATAATCCATATTTATTTTAAGAAGTTTTATTTCGCGAATCAAAGAACTAAGACTTCTCTTAGGAGTCGTACAATCGAAGTATTTTTGGTAGTGAGTTATTCCGAGCAGATTTTGGTTAGCGTACGAGAAGTTGAAATCGTTTAGGTAGGACAGAAAAAAATGAATGGTGTAGTCGATCATATTTATGGAAGAAGTGAGTATTTGCCCTAAACAGTTGAATAGGTCAAATCGGGCAGCTATTATAAAGAACATCTGCACCATTGGGAAGGTTTCAAAAGGCTGATTATTGTAGCCTCATTTAGGGTATGGAGATTTTACTGGTTTGGGAAATTTCAACAATTTTGAAAACAGTGCTGATCATCAGCAACCACCACACATTGCAATGGACGAAGGAGTTACTCCTCAATCGCTTTCGGGCAACGGTCGTCGCTCGGGCAACAGCACTTATAACTTGCAGCAGGTAAGGGGAGTAAATTTTGCATATTGAATTTTTCCTTAAATTCAAGAAATCCTCTGCTGATGGTTATTGTAAAGATTATTATGGCTTGCAGTCGGATGTGTTGCGTGAGAGCATCTCAGTTGCAGGAAATTATTTGGATTAAGCAAGATTCGGCTCAGATTCGCAATGCTGTTGTTCTGCTGGAGAAGGAAAAGGATAATTTACGACAAGCAGTTCGGAAACTCAAAGTCAATACTTTTTCAAGCTTTGTTAATCTTTTTCAAATCCTCAAGAGAGGACTTGTCATATCCGTCTCTTAGATTTAATTCACGGTTTCCAAGGGATACGCATGAATACATAATTTGTGTTTCGTAAACATTTATCATTGTTATGATCCCATTCCAGTTTCGTATTTAATACTGTGTCATTTTTGGCTACGTCGAATTTCTGGGGGAATGTAGGAGCGTTATTCACAACTTTTTCACATTCCAATTTTCGGATATACATAACTTATGGTAAACAAGGAATATTGTTGATTCCATGCTTCAGTTGGAAAATGCACGAGTGAAACAGAAGGTAAAGCGCATGCAGGAAATCATCAATGAATTGAGTGGAGTATCAAGGGATTATCTCAGAGTTGGAGCAGCTGAGGCGGATTTGGATTATGACGATATTGGCCGTGACTTCATTCTTGTGGGAGGTCTACATTTTGTTTAGAATTTATCTCATCATTATATTTTATAAGTTGGGGAGCCTAATATATAATAAATTTTTTTTAAGTTCTAAAATTCCATTTGTGAACATAATCCATTTGAAATAAAAATTTATTTGCAGGTGCTCAGGATCCTCTTAGTTTAAGATTCGAAGTTTCCATCCGGGATGAGAGAGGCATCGAGCATAAGTCAGCTGAGCGCTATTACTGGTAATTTTCATAGGATTAAAGTTTATAAATTTTTTCCTCTGCATACTAAATTGTTTGGTATTATAGTTCTTGCTGATGTGAAACGATGAAATTATCGTTTTTGCAATGTTGACTTTTAGGTATAAAATGGCAGAACATTTTGGAGACACGGAAACAATGGCAAGAATCCTGGATGCTCCCTCCACAATCAAAGCAGAAGAAGCAATGAGGGACATTAAGGATTTCGATGAGGCGAAATGGAATGAAGTAATTTGTAATCCGTTATTATTTTCATTCTAATCTTATGAGATATATGAGATTGTGTGGAAATGTATTTGAAATTTATGAACATTCTGTGTTATATCTTATCAGTCAATTAATTTTTGAGGTGAAAATGAATGTATGGGAAACTGGCCAACGTCTGAAGCTCGAGCAGACACGCTGGGTTGCTAATTTACTCGTTTATACCGGGAAGACATATATTGCTGTTGCTTCGCAAGACAAAGTACGCATTTTTGAGGAAACTTGTAGTAGAATTTTGAAATTTCAGGATTATATCATATATTTTAAATTATTGAGAATATATTACTTCTCTTATAGGTTTTCGGTACCGGTTGGCGTAAAAATCGTGATGAGGCTAATAAGCCAATTTTCTGGGATGGTGAGAATCAGGGCGGTAAAGCGCTTATGAGACTTCGCCAACAAATCAAAGAAACACATACTTGGTCGGGCCCATATGAAGAACAGGTGCGTTTTTGTTCTTATATATACATAGTTAGTAAAATTTCAGTGCAAATTTTATGCGTTCTGCTAGGAATGATTACCCACAGTATTAAGTTTATATGATTTCTTTTTGACCACGACTGTAGAAAAATTGTTTGTTTGCACATTAGGGAAGAACTGTTTTTTATATTTAGGAGATAGAAAAGCGTTTCAATGAGTTGAAGAAGTACGTCTGGCGCCGTATTGACCCAGCACGTCGTCTTGGGATCCTGCGTGATCGTGCGCGTGGCTTCGGACGTCGTGGTGGCTATGGCGGTCGTGGTTACGGTGCATCAGGTGCTGGTTTCCCACAGGCAATTCGCCATTAATCCAGCCGTTTAAGAAAAATTTGGCTCTGGGTTATCGGAAAACTAGTGTTTTAAAAGTGTTGGTTTTTTTTCTGCATCACTATTATTATTTGCGCAACATAATAATAATTGATAATTATTTCCATTGACCCTTTTTTTATCTCAGTTTTTTGTTTTTTCTATCTCCGGCAGCGATTTATTCTTTCATCCGCAACAATGCATTTTGTTTTTTCGAGAGCATCAAGTTTATGATTGTGATCTTCCTGTTATCAGATTATTCTGTTTTATATGATTGGGTTTTGGTTTTCTCATCGGTATGAAATTTCCTAAAAGCTTTATTGAAAGCTCCTTTTTCAAATTTCTCAAAAGATTCTGGAAAATTTTTTTTATGTAACTTCGTTTTCTAAGTTATTTTTTTCTAGAGTTCTATTTCTTCGGAAATTTTCATGCATTTACGACGTAGCGGTGTTTCTTTAATTTCACAACATTTTTTGTCGGTTTTGTGATTAACCTTCCAAAATTTTATGTTTGCGGTTTATGGAAAATGAGTTTTAACCGTTTTGTATTCTTTTTTTGGTTATTGTGGAACTGGAAAAAAATAGAATTTTCATATTATGCGTGTTATCTTCAGGTAAAGAAAAATTTATACAGGGATCATGAATTGCAGAGAAAAAACTCGAAATATGGCTGAGTTTTTTAAAAGTTATGCCGCAGCATATTCTGTTTGTTAAAAGGGTTTTTTTAATAATAAATTTTTCTTTTGAGTATACTTCTTATGCATTACAAGCTTGCGAAATTAGTAAAAACATGTTTGGATATGGTATATTAAAGTTTTACGAATGATACATTCATTTTACATTCATACATTCATTTTCACCTCAAAAATTAATTGACTGATAAGATATAACACAGAATGTTCATAAATTTCAAATACATTTCCACACAATCTCATATATCTCATAAGATTAGAATGAAAATAATAACGGATTACAAATTACTTCATTCCATTTCGCCTCATCGAAATCCTTAATGTCCCTCATTGCTTCTTCTGCTTTGATTGTGGAGGGAGCATCCAGGATTCTTGCCATTGTTTCCGTGTCTCCAAAATGTTCTGCCATTTTATACCTAAAAGTCAACATTGCAAAAACGATAATTTCATCGTTTCACATCAGCAAGAACTATAATACCAAACAATTTAGTATGCAGAGGAAAAAATTTATAAACTTTAATCCTATGAAAATTACCAGTAATAGCGCTCAGCTGACTTATGCTCGATGCCTCTCTCATCCCGGATGGAAACTTCGAATCTTAAACTAAGAGGATCCTGAGCACCTGCAAATAAATTTTTATTTCAAATGGATTATGTTCACAAATGGAATTTTAGAACTTAAAAAAAATTTATTATATATTAGGCTCCCCAACTTATAAAATATAATGATGAGATAAATTCTAAACAAAATGTAGACCTCCCACAAGAATGAAGTCACGGCCAATATCGTCATAATCCAAATCCGCCTCAGCTGCTCCAACTCTGAGATAATCCCTTGATACTCCACTCAATTCATTGATGATTTCCTGCATGCGCTTTACCTTCTGTTTCACTCGTGCATTTTCCAACTGAAGCATGGAATCAACAATATTCCTTGTTTACCATAAGTTATGTATATCCGAAAATTGGAATGTGAAAAAGTTGTGAATAACGCTCCTACATTCCCCCAGAAATTCAACGTAGCCAAAAATGACACAGTATTAAATACGAAACTGGAATGGGATAACTCATATCATATCTCTACCGATATAACAATATCACTAGAAGACATTTTGATTATTTCACGCCATTTCTCTGCAAATATAACAATATCACTAGAAGATATTTTGATTAATTCATGCCACTACTCTGCAAATGTAAACAATATCACTAGAAGACATTTTGATTAATTCATTAACTCACACCATTTCACTGCAAATATAACAATATCACTAGAAGGCATTTTGATTAATTCACACCATTTCTCTACTAATATAACAACATCACTATAAGACATTTTTATTAATTCATGCCACTTCTCTGCAAATGTAAGCAATATCACCAGAAGATATTTTGATTAATTCATTAACTCATTCCATTTCTCTACAGATATAACATTATCATTAGAAGACATTTTGATTAATTCACGCCATTTCTCTGCAAATATAACAATAACACTAGGAGACATTTTGATTAATTCATGACATTTCTCTGCAAATATAACAATATCACTAGGAGACATTTTGATTAATTCATTAACTCATATCATTTCTCTGCAGATATAACAATATCACTAGAAGACATTTTGATTAATTCATGCCACTTCTCTACAGATATAAAAATATCACTATAAGACATATTGATTAATTCATTAGCTCATACCATTTCTATGTATATATAACAATACCACTAAAAGTCATTTTTATTAATTCATGCCACTACTCTACGAATATAACAATATCACTAGAAGACATTTTGATTAATTCATACCATTTCTCTACCAACATAACAATATCACTAGAATGCATTTTGATTAATTCATTAACTCATATCATTTCTATGTAGATATAACAATACCACTAAAAGTCATTTTTATTAATTCATGCCACTTCTCTACAGATATAACAATATTGTCGTGAAAGGTTGTCTGTTGGTTGATATTCGAATTGTTTGCAATACAGTAGAAGGATTAATAAATCTTTATTTTTCGCAAACGTAGTATTAATAAACAGAGCAGTAAAAGAAGAGAAGAAATTTTATCATCAAGAAGAAGATTGGAGGAGTTGATCTTGGTTAAACGAGCATAGTCGACAATGATAATAATTAATGGTTTTGTTTATTAGGATTGAATTTATGTGAGTGAAGATTGGGTGTGTCTAAGATAAAATCACATGTGTAAAGAATTTAAAGTGTTTACTACGAAGAGATTAAAAATACATGTGTGAATACTGTAGGATTGTTTACAATTTAAAAGAGAGATGATTTATGATACTATGAAATTGGTTAGAAGTTTTCGCGAAATTATAATTCGCGACACTCCCGAAGAGGGAGAGAAATTGTTTTAAGATGTAATTTTGAGAGAGTGATTTTGAGGTATATAGCTAAATGTACGGAGTTTAATAGGTGGGATTTCTTCTTTAGTTATGAATTGAGTGTGTGGTGATTCTGTAGGGAGAGTAATAATGGTAGCTTGATTTGAATTTCGTTTTGAAGTATTACAAAGGAGGGATTGAACTAATTTAAATTTACACTTAATAATAACTAAAATAGTTAATATTGTCACGATAACTATACAGATAAAAATCAATTTCCAATGTGTTATCACGTTTTCAAATTCTTTTTCTATCGGTAGAACAATTTCATTGAATTCCTTTTCCATTTGTTTGATAATTTCTTCTCCTTCTTCAGAGATTTCTTGCCAAAAGAGTTCATCTTTCATTTGATGTGGTATTGAATTAATTGTTTTTTGAGTTTGAGCTAGGATTTCCAATTCTGCATTAATTCTCTCAATTTCAAACTTACTTATTAAATCTCCTTTAAATTCGATATTTTCAATTGTTGATTGTTCTGATTTGCAAGGAGCCACCATCAAATTTCCGTTAATTCTTTTAGCTATCACATCGTTTCTTTGAAGTATTAGTTTCGTGGCAAGAGTAGGATTGCTGATTGATAGCCATTTGATCAAAAGTAATAAGTTATTTCTGTTTTGGCAACTTCTCTGCTGTGTTTCTTTGAGTTGTTGAAGGAATTCTTGTCTTAGTGAATCAGAAAGGTATTGAAGTTTTACATTTTCAGGATCGTACTTTCTATCCGGAGCCTTTTCCATCATTAAAATAGTTTATTTGTTATTCTTCGTTTGAATTTTGTAGTAGAGTTCGAGTCATTTTCAACGTCTAGTTCAATAACTATATCGCCCTGCATTAAAATTGGAGAGGTGAATCTACAAATTTTGGTGTTTAATACAGGGGGGTTTTTATCAATTATAAGCGATGCTTGTATTTCATCGATGATGAAGTGGTTGTTATACTTTGTAGCCTTGAATCTTCCGATCTTTCGATATAAACAATGATTGGTCGTATCATTGCTATTTCCATATGATAATGCTAGTATTCGTTATGCATTCACCCTTTTGTGTCGAACAGTCTTTTATATCTTCAAGGTTAGAGACTAACCCTCTTCCATCGTAGATGAGAATTTCTCCTTGAGTTAATATGAAGTTTGAAGTTGATTGACAGTTAACTCCTAACCATCCATAGGAGTATTGTATTTCCTTATTCGTTATCCATTGATTAGGAGAAGATTGAATCAGTCCAATTCCGTTCATTTGTTTTCGAATATTAAAATATCTGCAGAATTGTGAAGAAGTTGCGGTAGTAGACGTATGGTCTGACACTACCGATAGCGATATTCTGAGAAAGGCTTTCGTGCATACAGTCCGTGTAATGTTACTACATTTTATAGCTGGTATTCTTACATGGGTGCGTGTGTACACATCCACTTTGTGATATGTAGCATTTTTGTGAATAATTTCTTCACAATTCCATTTTTCAGGAATATTAAAGGGTACTCCAGTAATCCAATTACAGCTATTGTTAGCTAATACCTGTCTTGGTATTAAAGACATCATCGTTATCAATGATAAAGTTTTTATCAAAAGATTAGACTTGTCTTTCGCATAGACTGTAGTTCCTCTTCCATCATAGAGGAGAATTTCTCCTTGAGTTAATATGAAGTTTGACGTTGATTGACAGTTAACTCCTAACCATCCATAGGAGTATTGTATTTCCTTATTCGTTATCCATTGATTAGGAGAAGATTGAATTAGTCCAATTCCGTTCATTTGTTTTTGAACATTTAAATATATGCAGAATTGTGAGGAAGTTGCGGTAGTAGATGTATGGTCTGATACTGCGTGTGTATACATCCACTTTGTGATATGTAGCATTTTTGTGAATAATTTCTTCACAATTCCATTTTTTGAGGAATATTAAAGGGTACTCCAGTAATCCAATTACAGCTATTGTTAGCTAATACCTGTCTTGGTATTAAAGACATCATCGTTATCAATGATAAAGTTTTTATCAAAAGATTAGACTTGTCTTTCGCATAGACTGTAGTTTGTAATTTTTTAGCACTTCTGGTTCGTCGAGCAATGGGTTCTTCCGGTTCATCTTCCACTTTTTCTTCTTTATCTTCAGTAGCATCTATTTCCATAGGATAAAGCATATTTATTGATCGATCGATTTGTTTTCCATTCGGTAATTGTATTGTTGCACTCCTTATTTTTCCATCCCATCCTCGATTAATTTTTATTATCCTTGCCAATTTCCATACACCACGAGGTACTTCTGGTTCATTTGTCATCGCTGGCAGTTTAAACGGTTTAGCTTTCCAGCGAATGCAATAACAGTATAGGTTTATGGTTCGTTTTATAGCAGCTCTTCCTTTCGGTATCCAATATTTTCGTCTTAATTCAGATAACGTATGTGCAATACCTGCGTGATATAATTCATTATGCTTGTGTAAAATAATAAGATCGGTAATATAATTATGAACCGGTAAATATATGGGATATTTGCTTTCGTCCATTAATTCTGAATTTTCCAGTCGGCTCCTTAATTTCCATAAGTTATCACTTTCATCTAGATATAGATTCCATTTTTCCTTTTCGTCCTCCGTTAGCAATCGTGATTGGGCCTGTCTGATCAGCATAGTCTCTGCTATATCGTAATCAACTTTAGTCATATATTTCTTTTTTACGGATAATGGTTCTAGCCACACTAATTTCTTTTTGCAGGTTTGTTTAATAAATCTAAAAGTCCAAACAGTTACTCGAACTAGTTTTGTCCAACTGCTGAAGCGACATACGTCAATAAATTCAATTATATTCCTTTTAAAGGTTTGAGTCATCTTTGTTAAATTCAAAGCAATTGCTTCTGCAAATTCATCGTTTCCTGAATAGCGAAGTTTGCACTTTGGCCATTCAGATTTCTTGAGTTCCAACCATCGAGGTCCTTTCCACCATTGTTTACAATTTTGGAGTTTAAGTGGTGATACTCCTTTGGTGGCTATATCTGCTGGATTTTGATCACTTGGTATGTAATTTAATTTGAAGTTAGATTTCCTTATTTCTTCGATGCGATTTTGTATAAATCTGGGAAGCAGCTTTGTATAATTCTGTATCCAGTAAAGAACACATTTTGAATCCGTCCACAAAGTAACTTGATTATTTTCAAGATTTAATTGTTTCAATACGAACTGAGCTGCTCTTACTCCAATTAGTACAGATAATAATTCAAGTCTAGGAATTGACATACCTTTAATTGGAGCAATTCGAGATTTAGCATAAATCAAAAATGAATTCGAATATGTGTTTTGATATCCATGATTGAGAATATAAATAGCTGCAGAATAGGCAACTTTCGAAGCGTCAGTAAATATATGGAATTCTGTTAATTGTGAAGTTTCCATTATAAATCTTGGCAGCTCTATTATATTTGTTGGCCATTCTTTGATGAGATTTATCCACTGTTGTTCGTCCTGCTTGTTTAAAGATTGATCCCATGGGATGTTTTCTTTCCATAAGTGTTGTATGAAT